GGGGGGGGGGGGGGGGGGGGGGGGGGGGGGGGGGGGGGTGGGGGTTGGGGGTTATACTCAACAAAGTCTAAGGTAGAGGCTCGGCCCCGAGGTACAACCTCTTATCCTTTAAGTTTGTAACACGTTTGACACAAATTTTACCCTGAGCTTCGCATAGATCCCATTGAAATGTGGAACTCCTCTCACACACCTAGCTAAAAACAACCCTTAGAATGAAGCCAATCAGGACAATTTTAACTACAAGAGAACATTAAGCATTACCCATGGTACTAGAGATGGTGAGCAAAATTAACCATATCACGATTTTATTCAGTTCAGTGCTGTGGCTAGACCTTTAAAGTTTAACTAACAGATTTCTCAACCCTTTCTTTTACTTCAGTTGATGAAATCGTTACACTTGTATACTTTAGTGTATATCTGAAGCCAACAAAGGTGTTTCGGACGTAGCGTTGAATGTAATTAGGGTCTGATAGGCGTTTGATAGATAGGTAAGATAGAACTGGCCAAATTTTATGACAGCTGAGAATTAAGAGAACTGAGATAAAAAATGTATAAATTGCTATGATAAGTGAAAAATGGGCTGAAATTTTAACTGGCCGGTAAAAAAGACAGGGATACTTAGCGGATGGCTGAAATCTGATTTTCAAAGTGTTAACCGCAAAAATCGCCGAAAATCAAACCCTGCCCCCCGTTCTCATTCTCTCCACGCTCCGGCCGAACATGTAAAAGCTTACAAAAGGTTATTAGTGCTGGTAAAACGCAAAGAGAATATTGATAAGACTTTAAATTTTGTTTCACTGAAATTGGCAAGAGATATGTTTACACCAGTCTACAACTGTCCATTTACACAGCTGTATTGACTTTGCAATTGCAAATAAATCTTAAAACACGCCAACCCGACATAAAGAACAAAATATATTGCATTATTACGTTTTGCTGTGCCCAAAAGCTACCTTCATACTATTCCTCAGTTTCAAATAAAATATATTTTAAAAAGCAGCCCTGGCTTTTTCTATTTGGACATGCCAAGTAACTCGGTCAAGTTATTTTTCTTCATTACGTTTTTCCCCAAATTACACCAAGTACTGTGATTGGCGCAATTAAATAACTTCAAATACTTCACTACTAAAATGCATGGGAGATACCGTAGATGTCTGATAGGCAGTGAATGCAGGATTTATGCCAAATTGAACGGCATCCTATGCTTATCTTAGAATGAAAGAAGCAAATTAAGAGTGTCGAAAATAACGCTAAAATTCTTTTAGGCTGAACTTTAATTTGCCGAGCATGCCAATGGGTGTCAAGAGCTTCTTTTAACCTGAGAAGACGGTCTGAATCAAAGGAAAATTTCATTTCGTTATGACGCAATTATTAATTATCTTTCAACAAAACCAACATTGCTAGGAAATGAAATTTGTACTGTGAGTCTAGGGAACAGCTGATGTCTATCTGTTACCGAATATGAAAACAAATCGGTGCAGAGTAAGCAAATGCAGAGACACCAATGTGGCTCAAATTTGAGCGCTTATCGTTTCGGTATTTTTGATGTACTGACACATAAAAAAGGGGCACACTTAACGTTTAAGATGCGGGCACAATATAAACAATAAGTTAAAGATTTGATATTTTATAAGGAAGAGAACCCACATCTAGCATCAATATTTCAGTAAGTTCACCCTCTGGAAAGAACTTAATTTTCAGTTTCACCGTTTTACCAGTTGAAGTTATTGAAAAGCCAGAGGTTTTCACAGTGGTATTCCGGTAGTTTGTTTGTTCCAAATCGTCTGTTGAACAACTATTTCCTCCTGTTGCCTTCAAGGGTTGTAAATGTTCCTAACTTTTGGGCTTAAAACTCTTGCTTGAGGATTTTCTTAATTTGATTTCTCTGCCCTCCTTATCAATTGTCAGTTTTTCGTTTTTTATATAAGATTGTAAGTAAGACTGTATGCACTTTTAATTTTCCTCAGTCTCCGTTATACGTTACTTAAATGTCTACGCCAGCCAAGTTAGTCGAGTTGGTCTCTGCGCACATTTTACCTTAGATGATTTGTGAAATTTGTTGTTTTATTTTCTCTTAATTTTGTAATGTATTGTAATTTTTTGTAGTAACCAACTTCTTGAAACAGTGCAAAAAATAAAAAAATCTGAAATTGGCATACTGTGATGCATATCTATAGGGACAGCCGCCGCTAAAACCAAATAAAAAACTCAGCAGACGCTTCATTTCAAAATAAAGTCTTAACTCTGGCTTGTGGCTTAGCCACGCATAGCCAAGATTATCGACACGCAACAAACCACAGATCTTGTGACAAACGTCATTTATTTTTATTAGTCCGTTGCCGATTCAGTTAGGTTAGCGCTCAGGGCTCAGTAGTCCCCGATCAAGGTTTGTTGCTTGGCTGCGAAGAAATTACCGCAACCACAACCTGACGGAGATAACAGGTTACAGTGGAAACGCCATCTTTGGGAATGGTACATAGCACTGATTAACGAGCGGATACCGCGTCCGTCTTTAACAATTCAACCTTGCACTCACAGCTAATTACAACCGTTGCTGAAAATTTTGCCGCATCTTATTACGTTCTCTGTTACAATGGGTCATTAAGCCACAATATTTTTGTGACGTTCTAGGTAATTGAATTTTAATGCAATAATCTATTTTGGCTTGCTACATATGTGAGTAAACTTCATTTTGCTTTCTTCTTGGCAAAGTGTATTAAACAAGATTGTCTTGCCGTAGTTCAAGAGCAGCCCTCGCGACATTTTGCCTGGCCTTACATCAAGAGTGATGCTAGCCCGTCATCAATAATGTACCCTCTAACATTCATATGCATCATCAGCTTGTTATGGAACCACTCTTTGTCAAACGAGCTAAAAGGTTAGTGTATATAATATATACTATCATTTTCTGCCTGACTCCGCGAGTTTAGCGGATTTATCAACTTGCTATGCATTTGCTACCGATTTTACCATACGCACAATTGAACATCACTCCCTCGTTGTCACTTTCAGAAAAAAACATAACTTTTTGAAGCCATTTAAAGACTTTGCAATGTCATTAAAATAACGAATAGATAAATATCTACAATTTTTTTCCGCGTTGAACTCATCTAAGCTGCCTAGCTACTTGCAACGCATATGCTACAATTCTTATCAACCTAACGACTTGGAGACCTTAGTTTGACTGACACCACAGGAAAAACAATTTTTAAAAGCCCTTTCATTATTAATATGAGCTAGATTTTCATTTTACTTAACGTCTGTCCTTTTCCTGCATTTATTTTAAGCGGGTTTGGAAGTGCATTTGATGACGAATTTCTAGAACAAGTTTCAGTCTGTGTTCCTCGAAATTAAAAAGACAGGGCCAGTAATTTTCTCCAAAAACAACAAATACGTACATCAGCTCAGGAAATTTAAAAGCGTAACGATTAATAACTGATCAAGAGGTTTCGTTTCCAAGGTGATGGTGGACATTTTGTTAAAAAAGTAATGAAAACTCCTCTTAACATGACAAAAACGGCGACATTCATTTTATCAAGTTTAAGGCAAAACTTGTTGGACCTTGCACAGTCACGTGGCAGCTGCGCACAGCGAGGTGATTAGATTACTCTTTGTATTATGAAGTTATGAATATCTGAAAGTCATATATGTAAACTGCAGAGTGAAGAATTAAACGATTTTCATATATTCATAACTTCATCAATCATCCTTTCACGGGATTATAACGAACCAATTCAACGACCTGCTCCCAGTTGGCTTAGCTTAATTGATAGAGCGCTGAACCGTTATCGCAGAGGTCAAGGGTTCGAATCCCCTACAAGCCTGAATTTTTTTCAGGCTTTCTTTTCGTAACTGCAAAAGTTACGTACATAACTGCGATGATAATCCCTCATTTAATTATTTGTATTATGTTAAGCAATAATTATCCTGCAGCCTTTAGCTTTTTCCTGCTAATTTCGATTAGTATTTGCGAGCGAGTGTAATTAAAATACATGATCACGGGATTAGTGATAGCGTACATCGACATTGTTCATCAGCAAATGAAAAGTGATGCTTTTTTGAGTGACAGCGCGTCTTCATCAATTTTCAAGAGTTAAATTATTTTATTCGAACGGAAAGCGTGTTTTTAGTTGCCAATAGACTTTAATAATTTATTATTTATAATTTGTCCTTCAACGAAAATTGCTTAAAGCGAAAACGTTGTTATTGCAGCCTGTAAAAATTTACCTTTCTTAAATAAACCTCGTCAATTCCTGCTGGTTGCATGATTGCTAACTTTTTTTATTTTTTTAATCAGATTCTGTTGAAAACAGTCCTCAACAAAGACTTCTTGGCGCGCTATTAAAAAATTATGATAGCGATGCCCGTCCACTGTCAGCCAAATCACAAGCTGTTACCGTATCCTTTGGCGCGAAACTGGTCAGGATCATAGAACTGGTACGAAAAAGTTTTTAGCAATCTCTTCTTGAGATCGGCTAAAGTTCCAAGTAATATCCCCATAACGCTTTGTCATTTTGAATCAACTTATCTGAAAAGTGTTTTATGGCTTGCATTTAAAAGACGAAGTGATTAAGACGGAATCCATCAGGAAATTGAGTAATTTCAATTTCACTGACCAAAACCTTGTACCAGAATAATTTAAACAATATTGATTCTTTTTTACATTTTTCAAGGGCTATAAATATAATTAGTTATCTGTAATAACACCTAAGACTATTTCTCATAGGAGCCCGAGAAAATAAATGCCAATTTCACAAGAATGGTGAAAACACAGGTAGAATTCTGAAATTTTCATGTGTAAGATGTCATTTGTGAAATCTGACATCTATTTTCTCGCGCTGTCATGAGAAATTTTCTTTGGTGTTATTACAGATAACTAATTACATCTTTTGCCCATGAAAAATGTAAAAAAGAATGCAATATTGTTTAAACTATTCTGGTACAAGGTTTTTGTCCACTGAAAATTAAAATTACTCAATTTGCTGATGGATTCCGTCCTAATAATTGTAAGACTTACATGATTTAATCGCCTGATTATAGAATGAACGAGGAAACACAATTCGCTCTCAGTGGTCGATCTACCAGGTATGTTGAAGAAAAACTTTTGTAGCACATTAAATTTTCCGTTAGGGTTCCTTGGTTTTCTTTCCATCAAAAAACCAAAACTTTTCCAAATCCAAGCAGGAAAGGGAGTCGAGGGCTGTTATTTCATCATCATCATCATCATCATCATCATCATCATCATCATCATCATCATCAACATCATCACCACCATCATTAGAACAAAATGATAACATCCGTAAAAATTAGCCGTTTAGGTTCTCATTGTTCATTTATCGAAGGCAACGCAGCGTCAAAGATAAAGAACGCGTATCAAAGCGCGTGAAAAGGACTGAATGCTGCTTCCGGTGCTCTATTTGCTTCTCTGCCATTGGTCAATTCCCTGATTTAGAGATCTTCGCGCGCCGTCGTTACTTTGTCACGTTGTCTCTGCTTAATCTATTTTATGCGTGTTAGCTTTACCATCATCAGAGTTTTTCTCATTGTTACTATTCATGATCTGAAGGAAAAGTTTTTCTTTTCTTTCCTAGGAATGGTTGAATTCCGACTTAGGCTGGAACGAGACAGAATATAACGTTAGCAGTGTACACGTGAGTCCTGCAAGGATCTGGGTTCCAGATATAATACTATACAATAAGTAAGCTTTTTGTGTGCAAAACATTCTCATTTTTGTGGCCAGCATGCGCAGCTAGCTATGCAGCTTTCTTAGAACAAAAGAAAGTTTTTTTTTCAAAGAGAAGGTTGCAATTCCCATAGAAATTATGGATAATTATACGTTTCTGGGAAACTGCCCGCCTACCCATCCCCTAGGCCAACATCAACACTCACTTCTCACATATAAGGGCACAATTTTGGCTTAAGGTAGGGGTAGGTGGGCGGTTTCCCAGAAAAGTTTAATGATTCGAAATTATTTAGTACACCAACTTGGCCGCCGCACCCTTCCCCCTCACATTCTTCTCCTATCTTCCCGCATGAGATTGATGAATTATAAAGATGAAGTTAGTTTTTACTTTGTCAGTACATAAAAGGCGACCTTCTTTATAGATTATAAACAATATTTGGATGAGCTTTTTGTGATATCCGGAATAATCAAGGTTAATTGACTGAAGCGTTATCAGCCGAGCCAAAGGCCGCGGCTGATAACATTTTCCGAGACTTTGATTATTCAGGATATCAGAAAAACCGAAACTAATAATCCTTTTATTTTAAATAACACAGCATCGCACTAATCTGCTGCTTACGACCACCTCGGTTATTACGGTCACTTTTTTTGGCCTGGCAAAACGGCCATACATTTTCTTGTGAAAAAACGCTCGTTAATACGATCACCCGTTAATACCGCCACCGGCGTCAGAAATTTCGAGCTGAGCTTGTTTTTGAACTGTTTTTAGACTATAGTGACTTACAATACATTTGTGGAAGTCTAGTAGCCGATTTTTACAAGTGTTTTATGTTCTGAAGGAAAGTTTCAAGTAGCTTTTACCAAATTTAGGGTACGCGATACCTATATTCCTGTTGTTTATTAAAGAGAACACAGTTGTACAAGACGTGCGAATGCGATGTAAGGTGTATTTGTCATTACGTTCATTTTGTCATGAAATTTGACTCTGCCTCGGTGATACGGCCAAATTTTTTGTGGCCCATTGGTGACCGTAATAACGGGGACTGTACCTAATCTTAAAGTTGCCATGATTTCCAAAATAAACTGTAGGCTCTTAGCCAATGAGAAGACAGATAGTAAATACAATGTGTAATAATTAAACTTAACACAGTGTGCGGTTCGCTGACAGCGCGGATGACAACGGTAAACTGGGAGGTGGAACGGAAAAGTATAAGACCAAGATTGTTATTAACTCCAGCGGTTATTGTAACTGGATGGCACCTGCGATCTTTCAGAGCTCCTGTGACGTAAACACAGAATACTTTCCTTTCGACGATCAGGTAAGTCAAGCGATAAAAAAACTTATCCTGGGTATTGGTTAGAAAGGTTTTTAACATGCGTTATGAAAGAAACAAAATGTTATCTGCACTGGCCCAAACTGCATTATATCATAAGAGAACATGAGAGGAAAGCGAAAGTGTGAAAAGACAACAAAAACAACAACAACAACAACAACAACAACAACGAAAACAGAAAAAATGAATGCAGCCAAAGGAGGCAGGAGGTAGGAGGCTTGGAACCGAGACGAATTCTCCAGACAAGCTTAAAGGGTGACCTCACATCTGAATTCGGGTGACGACTGGGAACAAGAGCATTAGGCTGTACTTAGCGCACATGAAGCTACATGAGTCAAGTGTAGTTCATCTCTTGTTATTTTCTAGTCCAACTCCATGTTGTAACAATTTATTTCATCCCGTTCATGAGTTTGTTACAAATGAGCTCTTTGCTCGCAACCTTGTCCCCAGGGCTTTTCCCTTAAAAAAACCGCCCCTTCCATTTTTTTAAGGAAAAGCTCTGGGGACGAGGTTGCTCTGCTCGTCGATCTATGAGGAAAACGGCTTTCAATAAAAATGACCGAGACCAGGTTTTATGAGCCCGCGAGACTGAGCACCCCACTCAAACCTTTACTAAACCGCTGGACGTCACAACCAGGTTGAGGTGGTCATTGTTATCTAAGGTCTTCCATCTATGAGGTGGTAAATGTAGATATCTAATATATAGTTGGCGCTGAACCTTTTTTGGCAATGTTTCATCTTAGACGGACATGCTTATAAAAAAAAAGAAATCCGAACTAACCATCCTTGTAAAGTACATGTATGACGTATACAGTGGCCCATACAACCAACACTGTTTTCTCTTTTTATCGAAAACAGACACTACAAGGTTAGAATACTTCCTTGGGGCGATTTTTGTTTTTTTCAGATTTGCTCACTCAGGTTTGGTTCATGGGCGTTTGACGGAGGCGAGCTGGATATGGTGGTAGATCACTCTGAGACAGGAGTAAAGAAAAACACTTATCAAAACAATACTGAGTGGGAAATGATGAAAGTTACAGTTGAAAGAAAAGAAGTGAGTATAGGTCCAAGGGCTCTGCCTTACAAGTTACAATTGTTACAATGGTTAACCGATTTTGGTACAAAGCGAAAGACCAGAGGTTTAATTCCGGCCACAACTACACAACGTAATACTGGATGGCATTAATTTATTGGTCAGAACCCATGCCGTAGTGTAGCTTTTCTGATCAAGCCAAGTCTGAACCTCTCAGTAAAAAAGATTTACAAAATCAGGAATTGCCGGGCTCAGAGATAGGCAGTACTGTGACTTAGACAATGATTGATTAGCAGATGACTCTCAGTTTACAAGAATGAGCACCAGAAGCACTTAACTTGTTGTCTTTGTACCTTTAAACTCTTCCAAAGACGGCTGTCTATAAATTCCTTTTCGTTTTCGCGCAACGTCAGTTGCTCATATTGTTTAACAGTTTCAGTTAGAGTAATGATGTCATAGTTTTAAGCAGTGATGGATTTTGAGCAATAAATCTCGGGAAAAGCAACAGGATCGTGTGATCTGATTTGCAAAAAAAAAACCATGCCCCTAGTTTCGCAAATTCCAAGTAGCTTCTGTATGACTGACTGTTTGCCCTTTTTTAACAGCAATGGTACAGCTGCTGTATCCACCCTTATCCAAGCGTGGTCTTGTCGCTGCATCTCAGAAGACGCTACTATTTCTACATGGTCAATTTAGTGGTGCCCTGTTCTCTCATCGCTTTGATGGTCCTGCTCTCTTTTATTTTACCGCCGGAGTCTGGGGAGAGAATTGGCTTGGGTATCACTGTGCTGATGGCGATGGCAATTTTCCAGGAACTTACGTCAAATAAACTTCCAGCCGACTCTAACTACATTCCGTTGTTAGGTAAGGGACTGAGATTAACAGCAGCAGGCCTGTCAAAAGAGGGAGTTTTAGATGTCAATACAGCGACGGCAACGAGATCATCAAAAGAGCAATCGGTTTTTGTTAGCAAAACAAGTTTGCACGGGCATCACGCTTTTTTGTACCTTTCTTTGCCGTCACTGCACGACTACGACGTGAAAATGCCTAATTTCACTTTTCATCGACAACGTGAACATACGACGACGAATTTTCTTTCTCTCTATAAACTTGATATAAGGAGAATTCTTAAGTTGAGGTCCTTTCAAGCGGATGTTACCTGTTTCACTTGTAAAACCCTATTAGCGTGAAATCAAAAATTTCTTGCGCTTCAGTAAAAAATTCACAGCAAAAGCGGCTCGACAAAGATCGCTAGAATCAACCTTGTCTTTAGGGCCTTTCCAGAAGCAATCCGGAGGCCCTGAGTTCATCAATCCCTGTCCCAACTGCTATCTGGTTTAATGCAATTGTGTTATCCTCTGTTACAAAGTAACTCGGCTTTTAGTAGCAACATACCATATACCAAAAGAGCGTTTTCACATGACGTCACGGCGACCATATTGGTGTTCCAAAACAATAATACGGTGGCCATGATGGTGTTCCAAACTAATCCTGTGGGAGTTGATCTCTTTTCTTATGTAAACACTTTTTCTTATTGAAAACGCTTTATAGCTTGCAAATTCAGTGATGAAGTTCGCTTTTGTTCGCAGCCTCGTTTTAATGAGGCTGCAAAATTGCAGAATTTTCACTCTATCATTGATTTTCGCTGTATTAGACTGAATTCTGTTTCTTTATCTTACAGCCAAATACTATTCCACTGCTATTACCGAGATTGGTTTGGCTTTGTTCGCAACCTGTGTTATTTTGAACTTTTACTACAAGCAAGACACCATGCCTGACTGGCTAAAACTGTTTATGTTTCGGATTCTGGGACGTTTAGTCTTAATAAAGTACGAATTCAAAGCAAAAAAGGAGAAAAAAAGAAATCGAAAAGAACTTCTCATTGAAGAGAACTGTGAACTGTCCCAACTTACGGGAAGTCAGTACTCTGGGCCTTATGATGTGGGAAAAATGAGCACGATAAATGAGAACAACTGCGAAGAAAATGGTTCCTACACTGAACCTGAGCAGCGGCCGCCTGTACAACGCAAGCGCACAAGAACACGAAGTTTGATTCGCGCGGAGACCCCACTTCTGAACGATAGGGTGGCCAATAGTCACCATCATGAGCATTGCATTCTCGAGCCAGATCACGAGAAACAGGCCGATGAACTTAACAATAACCGCGCCGACTGGCAAATGGCCGCGAAGATCCTGGACCGACTGGTGCTAGTACTGGGGATTCTGATCAGTGCTGCAACCTTTCTGGCAATATTTTTGCAAGCACCAAGGGTGCGGACAATTTTTTTTTGAAGGATAGCTTGCTCAGCGTCAGTCGTCTTAACAGCGTTTAAGGCAGCAAGGTTGATACTACGTCGAAAAATTAACTTTGCCAAAGATTAGCACTGAGGGGGACAACGTTGAACACGACCGAGCAAGATTACGGCCGTACCGACAATTGTCTCGTTCAATTCTTATCAGAACTCATCTGTATGGTACATGTCACTTTCTGTTGATGGCCAAGTTTTGCAAATCACGTACTATCGCCAGCCCCAAAAAGAGACCACTCGCTTAACTGGCGCTTTATGAGTCAAGACGGGAGGACGAGGCATCAGCCAAACTCGCCTGAGCGCCCCTAATAAGGCCTTTTGAGCAGGCTACTGAGGCTGCTAAAACCTAAAGAACAATAGAACACATTCACATGTTAACCGCTTATAAGGCTTTTTATTGCTGCTCCACCCACTGGGAAAGCGGAATGAACATATACAGCACCGAGACATTTGTAGCTGAATCTTTAGTGTATTTGATTGAAACCTAAATCCCTTGTGATTTCTGCGTACACTGTCAAACCCCATTACTTAATGCGGACTCTGGATGGGCCGTAGAAAGTGTTTCCGTGTTCACTGCTTATTAGGCAGGTTATGGTGTTGAAGCCAAAACGACTTCTTTTATGAGCGAAATATCAAAGAAATAAAAGAGGACATAGGCATCTTCGGATTAAACGTCTCTAACCTTGTAAAAGCCGTCATTCCGCGGAAGAAATCCACGGAAACATTCAAATATCGCTCTCATCTATTTATTACTTAATCAAAACCGTTCTATGCAAAACTCGTTTGATGCCAAAACAGTCCGTAGCGTTGGAGCGCTGGAGGTTTTTTACCTTTTAAAAGGAAAGGCCTATTACAGCACACAGCCGATAAAGAAGTGTCTGCATAAACGAGTTTGACTTTGTATGAGAATTTGTTGATTGGGCAAGAAACAAGTGTCCGTTGTCCGCATTAATGGCTGTCCGTATTAATCGGGTTGAATTTGGAAAAAAAGTAAAAGTTTTCAGCAGGGACAAAGAAAACTGTCCGTAATAACTAGGCCGGTCCGTGTTAAGCGGGCGCCCGTTAAGCGGGGTTTGATTGTATTATTTCAAGCCAGACAATTAAAAACAGACACTTCTTATAACGGTACGTACACACCCATATGTCTGATGCATATAATAGTACACATTGTCCCCTCTGCTTCACCCGCAAGAAAGTGTAATTTATAATAAGTGATCTGATTTAAGACTTAATCCACAGGCCTAAGCAATTTATCTTAGAATACTCTTGTTAAATTAGGAGTGACATAGTTAACCAATCGCGTCGAATTCCTTATTTCATAGTCAAATATACCCTTTTTTGAGCTAAATACTTTTTTCTTTTCTTTTCTTTACTTTTTTAAATAATCCATTTTTTCATTGAGTACCCTTCATTCACATGGTGTCAGTACCAGGAAGCATAAATCCCCGGCTTCTCTATAGGCTTTCTTGTCATTACCACTTTGATTATTTGAAAAATAATTTATTCAGAATAGCCTATCATCTTTAAAATATTATAAATTTCTTGTGTATTGTGTTAGTGATGACAAATATAATGAATGTAATGAATGGAATGAAACGAAGGGCGTGTTCAATTGATTCTATTTCGGAATAAAAATACGCAAAAGTCCGGGAAAAGTTTCGTTAAAAGTCTCTTCCGTCGTGATTTTTGGCCCATTTACGCTTTATATCAGACAGCAGAATATTTAAATGATAAAGTTTAAATTTCATACATGATATTTAAACCGCGGAATGCAAAAAAAAAATAATAATAGATGTTGAGAATTTCCTCGCAGTGTCGCAAATCATGCAGCTGTGAAAAGAAAGCCGGAAAAAAATTCAGGCTTGCCGAGGTTTATTGCAAACATTTTTTTAAATATTGTAATACAATGAAAGCCAAAATAACTGATTTCTATAGTTTATTCCATTTATCAGATTATGCCGAAATACAGTCAATGGAACACGCCCAAAATAGTAATCGCCCGTAGATGTGTTCTGATAGACTGACTATATATTAGTGATTAAAATGCTTTATACACTCTAATCTGTCAGTGGTTATGGGATGCTGTATAAAGATTTGATTTAATTTACAATTTGTGTATACGTTTATTAGTTCTAAGTGTAAAACATAAAGAGATTTTCTTCGAAACCGTACGAAAACGTTGTAAACTGAAGGTTGTTAGGGACACCAGGACTATGTAGAGTACATTAGTGAATTTGGAATACCTTTAATCGTAAAATTCAACAAGTAAGAAACAGACGTTTAAATTGAATTAATTTATTAAAAATGTTTGGACAAATTCTTCAAAAAATTAGTTTAGGAATAGATTGCATATAAATTAAGCTTATCATGCTAAGTCTTTGAGGTTCTTGACATATTCTAAGAAATAGCTAGATATGAATTTAATAATCCATTTTGCAAGGTAAAGCCAAAAATTGAGCGTGTTCTATTACTTTGAAGCTATGGATGACGCCAAATCAAGTTTTTGGCCGGTAAATGGAAAGATAACGAGATAAACTTAATCAATTGTATGTTTTCAAAGCTTCACTTGATTCCTTGAGATAGCTGTCTGCAGGAGCGCCTGCTGTCTGATANTATGGATGACGCCAAATCAAGTTTTTGGCCGGTAAATGGAAAGATAACGAGATAAACTTAATCAATTGTATGTTTTCAAAGCTTCACTTGATTCCTTGAGATAGCTGTCTGCAGGAGCGCCTGCTGTCTGATACTAGCTAAGGATATCTGGTTATAAACACCTCAGTGATCTTGGTGTTTACAGCAATCTGATTGGTTCGCTATCTCGGGCTATTCAACAATATTCACCCCCTAGCGAGGGATAATGTGTGCGCTGGGTATTTTTCCAATTTTTGTAGACAACGATCCTTCGAAAGAACAATTGTTAAGTAAACACCGTGATTACAGTCGAACCTCCACTCACGGCTTCTTCGCGACAATGCCCCCTCTCTCGCCCACAGCGGAAATTTGTCAGTCCATACATTCATTGCTTAGTGTTTCAACCTCTCTACAGTGGCCACTTTCTCCTGTCCGCAAGGTGGCCGTCGTAAAGAGGTTAAACTGTAATTCCTGAGGGCACAGTATTTGAGTACTAAAAAAGAAAGCGAGTTTTGGTTTCTTTTTCGTTTGCGTTGCATAGTGGGCAGAGACTGTCTTCCCTAGTCATTTAGTCAAGCCTCCCAATCTCTGTACTCATAGCTAGAATCGCTCAACAGTCGTGAGACGACGGAACACCCTTGACGGCAATATCCGGAAAACCTAGGTAAAATGAAAAACCTGTAAAATATTAAATGTTCGTCTGTTATGTCTTATTTAATTTGAAGTAGTCCTTTCTCGACGATCAAAAATTTTGAGGTACGGGATATTTACTTGAAAGAGTTGGTGTTATTGTACAAAAAAATACGGTAAGAAAAATGTAAAACGGCGTACATTTAGTTTTATAATCTGCGCCAAAAAAATTACATGCAGATTTTGAGGTGAAAGCCTACCAATAAATTAAAGAAAATAATGATGATTAATAAATTCAACAAAAAATCAAATTGTTAATTTAATTTAATCGAGGTGAATGACACTGTCGTGCAATGTTTTGGTTAGAAGCCATCCGTTCGGTCAATTCGGGCAGTCATTTTAAGGGTGTTAGTAAAGTATAGTTACTCTGTCCGTCTAAATTGACAAGGAAGCTCCCTGTCTTAACAATTGAAATTATTATCAGGAAGGAACGAAAGAATTTGATCTTTAATTCTCTAAGAAAGGAGCAAAATGTTAAAGTTACATGGATTTTGATTTCACTTGCGATGATGAACTAGGGGAGATCCAACCTAAACTGGTTTTGAGTTTGTAATCCTAGCTACAAAATTACAAGAAACATCTAATCGCAAGGTGAGTATATACTTGTAGCTTTGTGTCTCATTGAACGGAACTGAAACCGCACAGGGAGAACTCAAAATTAACGTTACTTTTAGATATAGCGCTATTACTCTGCGAAACTGACGTCTGAGGCGAAATTTTAACGTTAGAGCTGATTAAATTGTAGTTGGTCGCCGAGAGCACTAAAGCAAGATGGTAAGTTTCAAGGGATTTATAGGTGCCTCGTATTGCCTCGTACTAACGAAATTATTCAATGGACGTATTCATTTCTATCCTATAAAAGGGATTAGCGTAAGATATATGAACCAAATCAGCAAAAACTCGATGTAACGGTCTGTTCTAAGGAAAAGTGTCAAACATATAACTTGGATGATTTCAAATTTAAAATAGGTGAAAATATGTAATCAAATACATGGCAGAAATGGAGGCAAATATAAGTATTCCGCAAGTAATTAATAAATGGGTTTCCGTTAAAAAAATTTATCAAACGCTGACGCTTTACCAGCTGGATCCAACTTAAAAAACTTATTTCATGCCAAGAGACTGGAGGGATATTCAATTTTTGTAAACGCTGATCAATAAATTCAAGCTTTTGTCACCGTGGTTTTGCTGTATAAAATTTGAAGGACCACTGTCTACTCTATCTCTAAATTGAGTAGGACAGTAAAAATCAAGACAACATTTTGCCGCGAAAAATATTTTGAACATTGTGAAAGGTTTGAATCCAGGAGTCATTTCAAAGGGTTGAGTTTGATCGTCCGGGTGAACGTAGTCCTGAATAGGACTGTTGTTGTTGACAGTGACAGTCAACAACAACAGTCCTATTCAGGACTACGTTCACCCGCACGATCAAACTCAACCTTTTGATTTTGAACATTGTTTCGATTTCAATAGTCCATGAGCTTTTGTGCCGCTGCTTTAGTGAGCTTAAAATGAAAGCTTTTGGCTACATGCTGAGAATTACTACATTCGTTAAAGGAAAAAGGTATTTTATGGATCGGTAATATTTACTATGACTTAACATACTGTCCTGAAAAGCGGAATAAATAGACAAAACGACCACAACAATACAAAATCTAAAAA